TTCTCAGTCCACTGCACGAGTGCCACCTCATCGGGACTGGAGGCCTGGTATGTGATTCCTCGGGGCATAAGTGGTATGGACACGGAGTCTGACTCTAAACCATCAAATACAGTATAGAGTGGAAAATTAATTACCAGTATCATATATGATATATTCTTAATGATAATAATTCCTAAATTAATTCCTATAAATGAATGAATGAAAGCAACAATTAATGACAAACCTATGGGGGGTTTGGAGAGTTCAACGCTGTCTGAGTAGGGATTGGATCCGTTCTCGTAGGACGGCGTCACGTTATGACACAAAGCGATCACAAGCACTGCCTGTTGGACTCTGTAGACGCTATCTCTGTCCACTTCGTACGAGTCCACTCTCATATGTCTGGGCTGGTATTGGCGGGCCGTAAAGCTGGCGGTGCTGGCTGTGGAACTGTCGCGCTTATGGGTCTGGTAGTTGTTGGACTGCGGTGGTTGTGGCGTATATGCGGCTCTCAATAGGGCTGACAACTCATCGAAATACTCGGGACTATAGGATATCTTTCCCAAATGGATTTTCTTGAACACCATCTCATTTCTGGTCAGAGTTCCCGTCTTATCAGTCAATAAATACGCGATTCGACCCAAATCTTCGGGGATAGTAGTGGTGCGCACCAGTGTTCCCGGTATTTCCATATCGCGTTGAATCATATAAGAGTAGACAACTCTTCCCATCTCGAGGTTAACCCTCAGACTAATGGGTATAATATACGAAAATAAAAGTACAAAACGAAACCAATATCTAAAGTACGGGCCATTGAAACCTAAATGTCCAGCGAAATAAGGATTACTTTTTTGTTGCAAAACAGGTTAAAACACAAACTAACAAACCTTTCAAACAAATCATAGCAAAGGCTAATATAACGACGGCTGCGAACAGCACTTTAGTGATAGAGNCCAGAGACCCGGTCTATGATGAACAACAACGAGCCGCGCAGTAAAGTAGGACTTCTCGACTATGAGGTCAACTCTATCACTAAAGTGCTGTTCGCAGCCGTCGTTATATTAGCCTTTGCTATGATTTGTTTGAAAGGTTTGTTAGTTTGTGTTTTAACCTGTTTTGCAACAAAAAAGTAATCCTTATTTCGCTGGACATTTAGGTTTCAATGGCCCGTACTTTAGATATTGGTTTCGTTTTGTACTTTTATTTTCGTATATTATACCCATTAGTCTGAGGGTTAACCTCGAGATGGGAAGAGTTGTCTACTCTTATATGATTCAACGCGATATGGAAATACCGGGAACACTGGTGCGCACCACTACTATCCCCGAAGATTTGGGTCGAATCGCGTATTTATTGACTGATAAGACGGGAACTCTGACCAGAAATGAGATGGTGTTCAAGAAAATCCATTTGGGAAAGATATCCTATAGTCCCGAGTATTTCGATGAGTTGTCAGCCCTATTGAGAGCCGCATATACGCCACAACCGCCGCAGTCCAACAACTACCAGACCCATAAGCGCGACAGTTCCACAGCCAGCACCGCCAGCTTTACGGCCCGCCAATACCAGCCCAGACATATGAGAGTGGACTCATACGAAGTGGACAGGGATAGCGTCTACAGAGTCCAACAGGCAGTGCTTGTGATCGCTTTGTGTCATAACGTGACGCCGTCCTACGAGAACGGATCCAATCCCTACTCAGACAGCGTTGACCTCTCCAAACCCCCCATAGGTTTGTCATTAATTGTTGCTTTCATTCATTCATTTATAGGAATTAATTTAGGAATTATTATCATTAAGAATATATCATATATGATACTGGTAATTCATTTTCCACTCTATACTGTATTTGATGGTTTAGAGTCAGACTCCGTGTCCATACCACTTATGCCCCGAGGAATCACATACCAGGCCTCCAGTCCCGATGAGGTGGCACTCGTGCAGTGGACTGAGAAGTTAGGTCTGGCGCTGGTATACCGCGACTTGACGACAATGAAGCTCCGGAACCCCAACGGAAATCTCATGGGTTTCGAAATTTTACAAATATTTCCGTTCAGTTCGGAAACGAAACGAATGGGTATTATAGTGAGAGACCAGACAAACGACGAGATTATGTTCCTATTGAAAGGGGCCGACTCTGTCATGTCCTCCATCATTGTGTACAGCGATTGGCTTCAGGAACAGTGCGATAATATGGCGCGTCAGGGGCTCAGGACACTAGTCGTCGCCAAAAAGACACTGACAGACGAACAGTACTCGGAGTTTGAGACCCGATATAATCAGGCGAAGTGTTCGATGAGTGACCGCAACGCCAAGATTAGTGCCGTTTTGGCTAATCTCGAGAAGGATATGGAGCTCCTGTGTCTCACCGGTAATTCATTTGTTGTCAAATGCTATTTAAAAGTATTGTCTTAAGAGTTGTAATAATTTGTGCGACAAATGTGTGGAACAGGTGTTGAGGATCGGCTGCAGGAAGGAGTGGCGACAACACTGAAGGGTCTGCAGGACGCGGGCATAAAGCTCTGGATGTTGACGGGAGACAAACTCGAGACGGCTATCAGTATCGCGAAGTCGTCGCAATTGGTGAAGAAGATGCAGGAGTTCTACGTCTTCCGACCCGTTAAGAACCGCACGGAAGCGCACCTCGAGTTGAATAACTTCCACCGCAAGAGCGACTGTCCTCTGGTGATCCGGGGCGAGGACCTGGAGCTGTGTATGAAGTTCTACTCGACTGAGTTCATGGAGCTGGCGTGTCAATGCCCGGCCGTCGTGTGCTGCCGGTGCTCACCCACACAGAAGGCAGAGGTGGTCAAACTGATCCAGAACCGGACGGGCAAACGGACGTGTGCTGTGGGCGATGGAGGCAACGACGTGTCGATGATACAGACGGCCGACGTGGGGGTCGGTATTGTGGGGAAGGAGGGACAACAGGCCTCACTCGCCGCCGACTTCTCGATACTCCAGTTCAGTCACATCTATCGTCTAATTCTACTGCACGGCCGCTACAGCTATAAACGGTCGGCCACTTTGAGTCAGTTTATTATCCACAGAGGGCTCATCATATCGACACTTCAGGCCATCTTCTCGTCCGTCTTCTACTTCGCGTCTGTGGCCTTATATCAGGGCTTTTTGATGATAGGCTACGCCACGGTCTACACGATGTTCCCGGTGTTCAGCATCGTTTTGGACAAAGACGTGTCGCCGCGTCTAGTCATGCGTTACCCCGAACTCTACAAACTGATGAAAGGGCGGTCCCTGTCGTACAAGACGTTCTTCATATGGGTGTTGATCAGTATATACCAGGGTGGGGTCATTATGTACGGCGCTATGTTGCTCTTCAACGACGAGTTCATACATGTGGTCGCCATCACCTTCACGGCAGTCATTCTCACTGAGCTACTGATGCTGGCGCTGACGGTGCGCACGTGGCACTGGCTCATGATAGTGGCCGAACTCATATCCCTGTCCACATACCTGTTGACACTGATAGTGGCGCCGCAGTATTTCGACGAGAAGTTCATCCAAACGCGTGCTTTCCTATGGAAAGTGACTCTATTGACGGTCGTGTCGTGTCTACCCCTCTATATCCTGAAGTTCGTGCACCGGAAGATCGCACCGCCCAGTCATTCGAAGCTCACCTAAATTAGTCCCTCACCCCCAACACCCCAGTGGGCGCCCACACACTCACAAGCGAACCCATTTTGAATACTTTTTTTTATATAACTCATTGTTTTTCACGCATAGTTTTAAATGTAAATTTAATATTTATTTTTAATATTACCCGAACTCTGATAAACGTAACGATTGTTATAATTATAATTAGAACATCTGTTAATCAATTGATTTTTATATTCTCATTGACACTCTTTTCTATGAGAATAACTGTATTAAATGAAAATCAAATTTGCTTTTAAAAGAAATATTTATTAAATTAGTTAAACTGTAATTACATTGATTTTGAAGTGACGACAACAATACGGCTCAAAGTATTTGCAAATTAAACCCATTTAGAGGACATTAAGAAGATATTGAAATCAGAGAAGCGGTCGGAGTGGTGACGCTCTACCGATAAGCGGCCACTACTTGAGCCACATTCTCGAGGTCTATCTTTTCGGTGATGTTCTTAGTCTTGATGTTCTCCTCCTGATTGGCCACAAATACGAATCCATTTTCAATGTCTTTCCAACCGTTTTGTGTCATCCATTGATTCAATTGATTGTCAGCCAAACTCCCTAACAGTGAGCGCAGCGAAGACTTCTCAATGGACTGGTATGTGATTTGTATGACATGACAGATGACTGCAAATTAAAAAATATCAGATTATTATACATGAGTTACACCGGTAAATGCTTTTACTAGAAATGCTTACACTTTTGGATAGAGTTCTCAAATCCAGTGATTCCTTGTATGAGCTGAGGTCTGATGGATAACTCGCGCTTAAGACATAATCACATCAATTATAATTTGGTACACAATAGTCATCAATATATATGTTAAGACATTTTAAGTAGTTTTGTTCACTTAAGACAAAAACATTTTATTATGGATTAAATAAAACATTTGGAGAATAAGTGATTCAATAGTTTAGTCCAAAAGCGAAAACTTCACAAAATGTTTGTACGATTGAGAAGTCATTATATTTGGACATCAATTAGAAGGTTAAGCGGAAAGTGATTAAGTGATGGTTAAAGTGATAATAATTACCCAAAACTCTTGGAAACGACACGTCTCGAGAAGATTATGTAAACTCGTGATGAGAGCGATGTTCTCCTCCTCGAGAAGTGTTGAGTCGATGAGACACTTGCAGAGCACGAAGTCTGTGTTGGGAAGCGCTGTCAAGGCCTTCAGCAGAATCTTAATCACCGTTTGCTTCTTCGTCTGGCTTGGATTGAATTGGTATAACTTAAGGACAGCCAGATTGGCCTCCAAGTCATAGTAGTTGTCCTGCGACTGTCGCGTCACATACCTCTCCAACTCATCCAAATTGTCCGGATTATAGCTCAACACAGAGACACAAATCGTTAGCAAAACTCTCAAACCAAATGAGACAATAAGTGGCGGCTCTTAAAGGGCTATCAATTGGC